GCCTGGCCTTCCCTTGAGACCCCCCACATGCCCACCCCCAGGAATGGGTGCCAGCTCACCTGCAACAGCCCCAGTGCTGGTAGCTGGCAGCGCCCCTCCAGCTCAGTGATGAGCTCGGCCAGCTGGGCGCTCTGCTGTCCGAGCCGGGCCGCGCTCTCCCGCAAGGGGGGCAGCACCTCCAGCTCTTCCTCCTCCAGCCTCTGCAGCAGCCGCTGCTCCTCCTCCACAAGCAGACGGCGCAGCCTCTCAAACTCCGTCAGCACATTCTGCCGCTGGGTCTCCACCATCTTCTGTGGGGGTCAGGGAGGACAGCTGAGGGCCTGGGACCTGGAGCCACCCTAAGCCCCAATCCGGGGTCCCCCACATCCATCCCTCCCTGATCCCCAAACCAATACACCCAGGGCCCCCCATGCCTGGTTCTCCCTGACCCCCACTCCCAACCCCCAAACCCACCCTGAGGTGGGTTAGACATGGGGTCTGAGGCAGGGGCGCTGCCCAGAAGCATGAGGCTGAATGTGAAGGGTGGCGTCCTGCGGTGGGGGCCCTCATGCCCCCTGCCCCCACCCACACTGGGTGCCTGGCCACCTGCCTGCCACAAGGAGCAGGTCTCCTCTGCCTGGGCCTGGAACAGCAGTGCATCCTCCATTTGCTTCCGCAGATGCTCCAGGGACTTCTCCAGCTTGCCCTATAGGGAGGTGAGCCCAGAGTGACCCCGGCCAGGCCAGGCCTCCAGGCTGGGCCTTATACCTGCTCCCACCTGCCCAACCCCAGCTAAGCCTGAACTCAGCTGGCAGGGACTAGTTGTGGAAAACTGGGCCTGGGACATGACAGGTGGAGCAAACTCAAATTTGCCAGGAGATGCCCTCTAGCTGGTGTGGCCCTCCCACCACTGCCCTAAGCAGCTATTTCCCCTTGCCTGAATATCCTTTCTTCTGTTGTTCCCACCCCTCCCTAATCTCAGGGCAACCTTCCCACAACCCAACTTCCCACTGCATCACCACCTTCTTTCTTCCGAACCGCTTCGTTTCTCTCTGCCTGAACTGGGCTTGCTGGGTTTCAGCTAACCGGAACGAGCCACAGGATGGGCACGTTTGTATCCGGCTCCTTGGTCCTGATTTCAGGCCTATGCCTAACATTTACTTCAACCCACACTTCAACCCTGTTTACGACACACTTGGCACCTGGGAAAGCCAGGAGGCCCGAGATGCAGGAGGATCTGAAGGACCATCACAAGAGTGACAGCAGCGCGGGTGGGGATTCCACTATTCCCTCCGTCCATGTTCTAGATGCACCAGGGCCCTGGGAGGTTGCGCTTTATAGAGCCAGCACTCCCAGGCTGTGCAAATACCAGCCACAGCCCACTGATGAGAAGTTTGCTGGGGCATCTTCTCCAGCATTAAGACAAAGTAAAGCACCAATACGGTGAAGGGTCATGACATCCCAACACACGCCACTATGGCATCAAGATTATTTAGAGCTGAGGTGACTGAGAAACAGCAGATGCAGGAAGAGCTCTCTGCTCTCTTCCCTTCTGCCGAAACGCAGGGCCTAAGTTTTCCATGAGAACGATTCCTACCCAGTACCAGGAAGGGGAACAGTCACCACCCAGAGACAAGTTGTTGACACTGAGATGAGTCTACCTAAACAAACCTTACTCAAATAACCCTGATGTTCCATTAGTTCCCCTCAATATACGTCCTTGTTCCTTTCCCACAATGTATTGGCCCTAGAAGCCCAAATCCCCTTTCTAGTTGCTTGTCTGGTTGCTTTTCCACAAGTTATCGTCCTTTGTTAAAATGGACTATAAGCCCGAGTCTAACCACTTGAGTTTCTCACTTTTCTGTGAAACTCTTGTGCCGTGTACAATTTAAAAGACTATTAAAAGTATATGTCCCTTCACCTGTTGATCTCTTTTGTCACTTTAATTTGCAAGCCTCAGTCATAGAACACGACACGGCAGAGGAAAACGCTTTTCCTCCCTTATGACAGACAGGATTAAGTGCTACCACATGAGACTTTATCAGGTCAGCTGGGAGAGGCCTCTAGAGAGCTGCTGGTCATTCTCTGCTCTTTTGGTCACTTTCCACACCCTGATTGGGGTACTCAGTGACAGAAGTGCAAATCCGCTAGACTCATGTAAGGAGCGGGTGTTCCTGTGTGCACGTTATACCTCAGAGTGAGAAGAAAACCACAAAAATTGTGTCAGGACAAGCCCAGTGATGTGGATCAGGTATAGGTTTATTCTGTCTGTTGTCCCAGAGACTTGCTCTATGATAGTGACAGAGTACTGATTCTAACGTTGACTAAAGCATGTACTTGAGGTACCTCAGCAGAGAGACACTACTGGCCATAAAGCAAAATGCAAACCACAGTCAAAAAGTTTGAAAGATGCCACCCATGTACCTAATACCTTGGGTTTCAGAAGGAAACCCACCCGCAGGAATGTAGTAGGCAGCTGGCCAGGTGAGCCAGGTAAGTGTTTGCCCTGAGGCTCTTAGCAGAGAAAGGAGTGCTGGTGTTTGTTTGGATTTTAAGGAAATGCATTTCCAGAACAGAGAAACAAGGTATCTCAGCCTGGGCTCAAAGCAGGGCTGAGCCCTGGCTTGTCAGCTGGCAGAGTAACCTACTGGGAAAGCCTGGTGGGCCCTGGCGTCCGCCTCCTGGGGCAATGGCTCTGTCCCTGCATTGATCCCTGCCTGGGGCTCTGCAGCGGCTTCCTGGCTGCCTTTCCATCTCTTCTCACCAGAACTTCAGGACTGGCGTCGGCCCCACGGCCCCGGCCTGCCCTGCCCACGACCCTCTGAAGGCTCAGAGTCCTCATCCGTGCACGTCCACCTGGGACCAGTCACCTCTGAGGTTCCCTTCCCACTTTCTCCTCTCCCGGCTCCATCCCTGCCAAAGGTCGGTCAAACCTGCCCAGTCCCTGCCCCAGGCAGCCCTCCCACCGGTTCTGTGGGACCTAGACTTCAGAAAGCACGCCCCCTCCCCACGACCAGGTCCCCAGGCCAGCGCCTCACTGGTGGGCGGTGCCCCAGTCCCTCTAGGGTGCCGGTTTGGGACAGGCTACACCCCCCTACACACCCCCCGAGACCCGGACCAGGCTGGGAGCCGAGCCCACAACCTGGGCCAGGATGGGGCCCCCAACCCCGCAGGCCCAAGCCACGTCCCCCCAACCCGCAGAGACCCCCTGCTAGGCCGTGCTCCGCCTGGACCTGTCCACACCTTGAGATCGTCGGCCGCGTCCTGCAGCGGACGCACTCGGTGCGCCCAGTGCTCCCCCGAGCGCTCGCAGGCCGAGCACAGCAGGCGCAGGTCGTCGCCGCAGAAGGCGGCCAGTGGCTCGCGGTGCGCGGCGCACACGCCCTGTGGGACGGGTGACGGAGGGTGCAGGCGCCGCGCCATCTCGGCCATCTTGGCGAGCGGTCGGTTGGGTCGCAGGTTCCTCTGCGGGGACAGCTCGCGGCACTCGGGGCACGCGTACGGGCCCTCGGGCTGGCCCCAGCAGCGCCGGATGCACTCGCGGCAGAAGTTGTGGCCGCAGTCGGTCATCACCGGATCCGTAAAGTAGTCGAGGCAGATGGCGCAGGTGGCCTCCTCTTGGAGGTTGGTGGACAGGTCCGGGGCGGCCATGGCACCGGTGGAACGGAGGAGGGCAGTGTGGTCCAACGCGTCGGGCGGTGGCCGGCCGCTGCCGGGACTATGGGGAGCGCGTAAGGACGCGGGGTCTCCGGGGACGCGAGGTGCAGGGCACCAGGGTACTCGGGGAGCTTCGGAGCGCAAGGGCTCCGGGGTCCAAGGCTGCGCGACTCCTGTGATGCGGAATATACGGCTCCGGGACTGCAGAGGCTCCGGGAACGTAGAGCCTAGGAATACCGTACGCGGGGAGGAAGAGGAGTCGAAGCGGGGGCGGAAGCAGGAAGCAGCTGGGTTTTTTTTTTGTTGTTTTTTTTGTTTTCCTTTGGAACAACCCACTTTAGCTCCGGATTGGCCGTGGCCTGTCACGCGGCCCACGGGCCGGACAGAATTGGAGGCTGCTCACCCGCTGACCTTGCGTCGCCTCCGCCTCTGGGCTGTTGCGGTGTTGCACGGTCTGGCCTCTCCGTCGGGCCTGGGGAAAGGTGGGGTGCAGGGGCCGGGGCCAGCGGGGTGCCCCGCACGGTCACTGGGCTGTTCGCGAAGCGCAGAGACCGCGAGGACAAGGGGAAGCTGAGGCTGTGTCGTGGGCCCCAAATCGTTCCCCGTGCGCTCCTGGGTGTCTTCGCGCGTCCCCGGGCTGGGAACGGTCAGAACTTATTGGGTGAGGGGCTCGGCCCGCAGGGACTTTGGCCTTGTTGGGGTACGAGTACATTGACCAGAATTCTAGGTTTCTGGCAACTGTTACCTGGCTGTTAATGCGTCTGCAGCGGCGGGGCTCGGGGAGGTGGTGGGGTGGGCGGTGGAGAGGGAGTGAAAAGAAAGGACCCTCTCTGATCCTCACTCTGAATTTTGCCCCTGCAACTTCCCTGGGTAGAAGGGATGGAGGTGGGGAGCTCTGAGGCTTTTAGGGTTTCAGCTTGAAAAATCTCTTCACTTTTTCATTTTCCCCCTGTGAAAGACCCAAATATGGAATTTGTGGAGGACAAAGAAGGTAGATATTTGAGGACTTGGCTCTACATATAAAAACATGAACCATGGAGGAGCCAATGAATGGCAACATCTCAAGTGGAGAGTGAGGGACATGGCTAAAGAACACTGCACCACACTGTGCCTGGTACATATGTTTTTAGAAACTGACCCACTGTGGACGTTTTCTTTTCTATGAAGCATCTGTAAATATAGCCTCTTAATGTTTAACTGCTTTAATCATGATTATACTTCCGCTTTGTGAAACTACCCTGCACAGCCGTTGGCTCTCAAATGCCTCATTCCAGATAAGCTGGGCAGGTGGGCCTTGCTGAGCTGGACCACATCACCTTCTGGAGAAACCAGGGCTGTCCAGGCTCCCCCTCCTTGCGCCGCTGTCACTTCACCCATAGGGTCACTGTAGAGATGACCATCTGGCCCGATTCGGGGGCCCCAAGGCAGAAGAAGGGTTGCAAGGGGTCAGAGAAGGCGGGCTGGGAGTAGGTATGCAGGTGGGACCCATTGTTCACATTGTAGAAGGATACCTCTCCGGCCTCGAAATCCAGGAAGATGCCCATGTGGCTGGGGGGCTCAGTCAGCATGACGGGTGTCAGGGCACACATGGCAGGTGCACACCTCTTTTCCTTGCATAGCTGCACCACCCAGCACCCATTTTCTGGGCACTTGGGGACCCTGCCCCTCCGGCTCACGTTGTCCCTGCACACGCCCAGGGCCCACAGTGCATCACAAGTGAGGTTCATGCCCACCTCCCAGTAGTGCCTCCCTGAGGAGGTCTCTTGGCCCACTGTGCAGGGGCAGGCTAGGAACCTGTCCTTGACAGGGGGTGTGCCGTCCATCGGGGTGCTCAGGTAGCGCCTCTGGCGGCTCTCATGTAAGAGGAGGTAGGGGTATGCCGTGGAGGGGTCGGGCACCACATCCTCTGGAGACAGGCCCGGAGTGGAGGGGAGAGAGGGACCTTTCATGGTCAGGGTGGGGAGGGTGAGGCCCTAGCAGGGGCCAAATAATCCCCCATTCATCCTAAGCCCCACCCAGACCTCCCTTTGGCTGAGTTCAGCTGTGAACCTGGAGTTGCTGCATGATCCCATACCCCAACTGTGGATATTGGTGGTGCCAAGGAGATGGGGCTGGGGAACCATTTGAGCATTGGGCAGTGTGGTTGAGACCCCCCCGCCACCACCACTGGTGACCCTTGCCTTGAGTGGCTAGGAGCAGGGTGGGGCACTGCCAAGAGCACCTGGGCCCCCACTACTTACCTTGGAAACTCTTGAGCACCTCTATCTGCCCCAGCACCCTACAGACGGTCTTCAGCATGGTGGGGGTCGTCTCTGGGTACTGCACTCTCAGGCTGTTCTTCCTCCAGTGGACACAGGTCTCACTGTCCCCTCTGGCCCCACTTGCAGTCCTCCTTGCACCCATCACCTCCTCCACCGCAGGTGGCTACGTACCTGCCCAGGAGGTCCTTCACATCCTTCAAAAGGCACAGAAGGAGGAAGAGAGATTGGCAAGGTCTCATTAGGGATCTGTGGAGTTGAGCACCCTGTGTCGACATTTGGCCAGTAGGGTTAGAAGGGCTTTATGATGTTTCCCATGGCCCTGTTTGCAGTTCCCAGAGTGTAACGCTGTCTTTTGGCTGTACACAGTAAGGTATCTGACTTACCCAAGCCTCCTGCTACCCATCACAATGAATGAGGACACAGGGAAGCTGTCCTGCTCATGATGGACCATGAAGGCATGGGAGACCAAATGGTGTTTTCACCCTGTGGACCTTGGGCCTTGAGTGGGTCAGGAGTCAGTTTAGTGGGTTGCAAACAGCTTGCTCTTTTTTTTTTTTTTTTTTGCAGTACGTGGGCCTCTCACTGTTGTGGCCTCTCCTGTTGCGGAGCACAGGCTCCGGACGCGCAGGCTAATTGGCCATGGCTCATGGGCCTAGCCGCTCCGCGGCATGTGGGATCTTCCCGGACCAGTGCACAAACCCATGTCCCCTGCATCAGCATGCGGACTCTCAACCACTGCGCCACCAGGGAAGCCCACAGCTTGCTCTTTGATAAAAGACAAGGTATTCCCCCAAAGGTAGAGCAAGGGTATAGTCTTGTCTACACCAGGACACTTACTGGGGACAAAACCCACAGGATGCCAGGATAACAGGCATAAAACTGGATTGACCCAGGCACACTGGGAAATATAGATACCCTACATGTGGCATTTACTTCACTTGTGTAAACACATTCCTGTGAATGTGTGTATAATGGCTCACAGTGTGAAATGTATTGTTTTGCTATGGATTCCATCACTCTGCACACTTGATGAGCCAGTTACCCACTTTTTGGCCAACATAATTGCCCCTTCCAGGGCCTTGGTGTGCAGGCCTATCCCTGGCAGGCCAGCTGCACCTTCTCCCCACTTCCATAGCTGGCAGGTGTGATCATGTGACTTGCTCTTGCCTGAGAAGTCACAGGCACCTGTCTGGGCCAGTCTGTCTGTGCCCTGCATCACTGCGGACAACAGCTGCCCTCAGGCCACATCCCTAGGCTATGAAGGGAATGAACACAGGTCTCTAGGATTGGAGCCTGTCATAGACTGAATTGGCCCCTCCCGAAATTCATCTGTTGTGGAGCCCTAACCCCCAGTACCTCAGCTTGTGACTGTATTTGGAGATAGGGTCTTAAAGATGTGATTAAAATAATATCAGGTCATTAAGGTGGGCTGTAATCCAATCTGATGATGTCCTTATAAAAAGAAGCTGTCGGCACAGACACAGAGGGATGACCATGTGAGGACACAGGGAGAAGATGGCTGTCTATAAGCCAAGGAGAGAAGCCTCAGGAGAAACCAGCTCTGCCCACTTGAGCTCGGACTTCCAGCCTCCAGGAATGTGAACAATAAATGTCTGTTGTTTAAACCACCCAGTCTGTGGTATTTGTTATGCAGCCTGAGCTGACTGAGACAGAGCCTCTCCCGTTGGCCTGAATCTGTTGCCACAGGTCAGCCCACCCTAACCACACCTGAGCCAGAGCTCATGCCCCCACCCCCAGCCAGGTGAACAGGTGTGCCCACCTCACCTGCAGCATCTGGAGCGGTGTGCACTCATTCCTGCCCATCAGCTGCAGTAGCAGCATCTTCAAGGAGTGACTCTGCTGGTCCAGTGAGGCCATGCTCTTCTGCAGCTTTGCCACTGTCTCCTCCTCCTCCTCCTTCAGAGCCTGGAGCAGGCGCCGCTTCTCCATGAGGAGGAGGCCCATCTTCTCAAACTCAACCACGATGCGCTCCCTCTGCTCCTTCACCTTCTTCTGTGGTGGTAGTGATGGGAGTCCTAGGTGAGGTACCACTCAGGGCCCCATCAACCCAAGTGCCTGCTTTCAGACCCCACCCACCAACCAAACCCACCAGCTTGGAAAGTCTGCTCTGGGGACAATGGCACATCTCTGAATCCCAGTGACCCACAGAAAACCAGCAAACCTGGCAGGCCAGGGGCCACACAGAGGCCCCCTGCACTGTCACTGTAGCATAATTTTACTCTGAGCCCCAACTGGCAACTTCCAAGCATCCATGTACCCTTGCTCCCTGCATCTCTGAAATGGCCAGTCTGTGCTGAGGGCACTGTTCTCAGTCCTGGTTTGGCAGGAATTCTGTGACCTGGGAAATCATTGCCTTTCTGGGGTCCCATGTTCACATCCGCACAGGACAGTGATTCCCACTTCAAGGGGTTCCACAGGTTCAGGAGACCCTGTGGGTGCTTTGGGGCCTGGCTGGGCCTTCCCCACACTGCTCAGCTGCTGAGCGTGGTCCCCAGCACCTACCTGCCATTTGGCCCCGGTCTGTTCCTCCTTGGCTTGCAACTTCCCGGTCTTCACCATTTCCTCTCTCAGGTGTCCCATGTTTTCCTCCAGCTTCAACTGTGGGGCACCCAAACCGTGGGATTTGGGGTCAGTGGGCCCCCTGCACGCCCCACATCTAGATGGTGCCCTCTGAAGCTGCATCCACCCCAAAGACCATCCTAATGGGGTGCACGGGATGGAAATATGCCACCCCAAAATCTGCCCCTTTGGCATGAGGACTATTTTGAGCAGGAGGCAACTGAGAACAGATGCAGAAAGATGCCTTCCAGGGGCTCCCATTACCTGAGCAAAAGCACCTTGCTGGGGATGTTTTATGCCCATTAAGAAGATGGAAGGTTGGTGTTAAGATGGACCTGCACTAATAACCCTTATCTTCCTTTGATATCCCTCTATATATCTACTTTCTGCCATGCTCTGAATGTTTGTGTCCCTCCCCGCCAAATTCATATATTGAAGCCTTAACCCACAATGTGATGGTAGAGGTGGGGCCTTTGGGAGGTGATGAGGTCATGAGGGTGGAGCCCACATGAATGAGATTAGTGCCATTATAAAAGTGACCCCAGAGAGCTCCCTTGCCCCTTCTTCCATGTGAGGACACAGTGAGAAGTTGGCCATGTATGAACCAGGAAGGGGCTCTCACCTGACTGTGCTGGTGCCCTGATCTTGGACTTCCGGCCTCCAACTGTGAGCAATAAATTTCTGCTTATAAGCCACCCAGTCTGTGGTATTCTGTTACAGCAGCCCAAGCAGACTGAGACACTTTCCCCCTAGTCTGCCACCCTTGGGAGGCTGAAACCTTTGCCTTTGTCTTGTTGCTTTTCTCCAAATGTATTATTCTTTGTTAAGATTCTAGATAAGCCCAAGTTCTAACTGACCCTCTTTTACTGTTGCTGCAGTTTCTCCCAAGTGACTCGCATCACACGCATGTGTTAGTAGACGGTTTGCCTTTCTCTTTGATTTGTCTTTGCTCAATCTAATTTATGGGCCCCCAGCCAAAGAGCCTCAGGTAGGTGGAGGAGAAAGGCTCCCCTCCTCTTGCCCAACAGAGGGTTGCCTGGCCTCGCCACACAGATCGCTGCACAAAGACCAGGGAATGTGGACAGGCCCATGTGGGGACTTTGTCAGTCTGGACTCCTGCATAATCAGAGGTGACACCACGATGGCCTGGCCACCAGCCTGTTTTGTCGTGGGAGTGTGGGGACACTTGGACCTCCCTGCCCTGGCCCCCAGCCCAGGCCCATTCCTGCACAGCCTCCTCAGTAGGGACCACCCTGTGGGGCTGGTGTTCCTGGGACTCCCTGCAGATGACGCAGATGGGACTCTGGTCGTCCTCACAAAAGAGTTTGAGCAGCTCCTGGTGCACCTGGCACAGGTCTCTGCTCTGTAGGCTGGGGTGCTGCCACGCCATCTCCGCCACCTTGGTCAGCAGACAGTTGGGCGGCAGGTTCCTCCGGGGGGGATAGCTTGCGGCACTCGGGGCAGGGAAAGGAGTCCTTACACTTTCTCCTCGTTTTCTGGCCTTTGGCCTTCTTCCAGGTCAGCCGGATGCACTCTCGGCAGAAATTGTGAGCGCAGGTGGTCATCACGGGGTCTGTGAGGTAGTCGAGACAGATGGAGCAAGTGGCCTCCTCCTGCAATTTTCTGGCAAGTTCCACAGCATCCATGGCTCCTGGGGAAGGAACGGAGTGTCGTGCCACATCCTCTGTCTGGAGCTCTGTCTGGGCTCTCCATAGTACTCTCTCAGCATCCTTTTGCAAATGGAGTCTGAACACGAGGTTGTTAGGGTACCCTGACTTATCTTCAGTAAGAGGCACAAATGCCTCCCTGGAAGCTGACAAAGACCCTCTCCTTCACCAAACCCCAGTCAGCTTCCGCTGAGCTGTAGGCCTGTCTTTAGCCGGCCCCACCCAGTTTCAGCGAGAATTTCACAGTACTCCCACCATAATATCTGATCTAGCTCCTCATTCCCACCTTTAATGAACACATGTCCTTGACCCTCCTTGGGCAAGAATCCTGTTAGGCCAGTTTAGCAAGAAGCCCCCTCCTCATGGCGCCTCTTAGTGATTTTCCATCACTGAACCCCATCACCCTGCTCCTTGGCTACAGATCCCCAGCTGTCTTGTCTACAGTCAGAGATGACCCCCCATCTCCCTCTGCAATTGCAATAGTCTTAAATAACGTCTTGCGTACGGTTTTAACAAGCATCATGTTTCTCTTTAACAGAACACCCGCAGAACTAAGGAAAAAGGGAGTTTAAGAGGAACAACACTCTCTCTTCCATTAGGGAGCGGGGTTGACGAAGGTTCTCTCTTTAACCAAACTCTAGCTCAGCCTCCCTGAACTTTCCAGCCAGGCCTTGGGCTTCCATGTTTGTCTCTGCATTGTTTGAGTTTAGCAAGAATCCCACTAGGTGAGATTAACCAGACCCCCCCCCCCCCACCCCTGCTACTAAGATGTGTCCTCTTAGTAATTTCCCATAACTTACCCCCACCCTACTCCTTGGCTATACATCCCCACTGGCCCATGCTGTATTCAGAACTGAGCTTCACATAGAACCCCAGGTTCTATGCTGATCTCTTTCTTCCTATTTCAATAGTCCTGAATAAAATCTGTTTTTACCCCTCTAAATACCATCCAGCTCTGGTTTTCCTTGACAAGGTGCTGTGCAGAGAAGACAAAGGAGGGCTGCTGCATGCACACATGCACACAAACACACACTGCACACAAACACACACTGCACACAAACACACATACACATGTATGCACGCATGTTCACACACAGGCACACATACACAAAAGCACATGCAGAGGCACCTACACACGTGTACACACTTGAACACACAAACACACATACACACACACACACACTCTGGGGTTGGAATACCCGTGACCTTATCCAGTGGAGATCCAAATCTTCCCCTGTGCACTTCACTGGGTAGTTGTTAGGGCTGAGTTAGAGACTGTATTTGAAAACATCATTTCTGAACTACAAGCACCATCCAGGTTCCCTTTTGTACAATCTGAAACGGTGGCGGCTGTATTCCGCAGATTCGTGAGTCCCTGACATTGGTTCACTTTGCCTGGAGCCGTCTCTGTGAAGAGCCTTTGGGGTCAGTCTCTCTGCTCTCAGCTGCCCTTAGGCCCAGCTGCTGCCCACCCAACAGAAGCTGGGTGAGAGTAGGGCAGTCTGGTGGGCTGGGGCTCAAGCTCCGGCTCAGGGTTTGGGGGAAGCTATCCAACGGCTCTGGGTCAGTGACGGTGGACGGGCCTCCTTTGACCCCAGAATGTTCCTCTGTAAATGTAGGGCTCAAATAGTTGGCTCCTCCCAAGTTACAACCACCTTCAAAGCTGGGACCGCCAGTCTACTAAGGGCAGGGGGTGAACGGGGTCCCAACCTGAGCCTCAGCGCCCACAGGGTGACCACCTGCCTGCTCCCTCAAGGGGCTGGTACTCAGGGGGGAAAGGGGTGCACGCTGCACCTCACCTGGAGCCCCCAGCCACGCCTGCAAACGCGGCCCAGGAAAGCCTGCGTTTGCGCGATGGAGACCATCCGGGCGGGGAGGCAAGGGCGCCAGGGCTGTGGGGCTTTGTGGCGGCAGCAGGAGCCGGAGGCCGAGGGGCGGGGCCCGTTATCAGGGTGCGGGCGGGGAGGTTTACCTTGGCGAGAGGTTGTCGGCAGCCTGGGGATGGAGGCAGGATCCTCCTGATGCGCAAGGAGCCGGCACAGAGGTGGGGGGGGGGGGGGGAGCAGGGCAGGGGTTTGGTAGCCAAGAGGGGAGGGGAAGAGGTAGGTGGGGATGGGAGCCTTGTCCGTGGTGGGGGCGAAGACCGGTGGGGAGGCAGGGGGCGGATCCCGTGTTGGCAGGGTCGTGAGCACGGAAGAGGCAGCAGGGGTCAGGCACCCTGATGAAGGGATCGCTGGTCCGTAGGAGGCCCCAGATCTCCCGCAGCTCCCGCAGCTACGCTCTCCCCGCTCAGGCTTGGCTGGCTGAGGTGCGTTTCTCCTTTCTTTAACGTCTCTAGGATGGAGTCTGGCGGTTCAAGGTTCTGCCCTGTGTGTTCCAGGGCAGTGAATGGGTGTGGAGGCCAGGCAGCTTGTTGAATGAAGGAATACTGGTTGCTAATTCGAATTCCCTGGAAGTTCCTGAACCTCCTCTGCATGTAAGGTGATTCTGGGCTGACGATTTCTTTCAATTTAGAAAATAGAATCACAGAATTTTTAAAACATTTCTTTCTCTGTCCTTTTCAAATGTGTGTAAATCTTTTTACGGGCTAAATAAGCCTCTTGGCCCATCTCACATATCAGGAATGATTCAAGGACCCAGGAGCATGTCTGAAATGTAATCGTTTCCCAGAGGCCTGGGAGGAGATGGGCCTAACTTGCCATCTGACTTCAAATCACCTTTGATCATAATTGTAGGAGAAAATTAGCAACATTACTGTGAAGACATGAAAGTAATAGGTTGTATCCACTTAGCCATAGAAAAGGATGAGGTTCCCTTCCGGCTCTGAAGTCCCTTTAGCTATTGCTTGTGACCAGCATCATGTTCTGATTGAATGCTCATTCAATAACACAAAATTTTTTTTTTTCTCTTCTCTCTTTATGGAGAGGTTTTCTGGGTTGGGAGCAGATGTTGTTGTGTATTATATTTCCCCAACATTAGTGTGCAGCAAAAGTAGAGAACTAATGGTGATCAGATTCAGACTCAAGTCTTTGCTGAGAATGTCGTGTACAGGTGTGGGTGTGGTTGCAGGTACCGCAGAAGCAAAGTTTTGAAGAACTGGAAAGACTGTTAAACCTGCAACAGGGCTGGAGAGCCTTGGGTCACTGTTGAGAATTTGAGGCAGGGAGAGTGTGGATTATGGCCCAGCGTCATCTGTGCAGCTTGTTGGAGGCCCAGCGGGGAGGCTGCTGGTCCCTTATGAGCTCTTACTACTGGCTGTGACGCCATGCCACTTGCTCAGAAGGACACATGGACCCAAATGGTCCAGGTAATAGCACAGAGCATGCATCCTCCCAGAGGCAGTTTCTTCCCCACAACACCCCCTATTCTCTTTCCAACGTGGAAGTCAATGGAAACAACCCAAATGAGAGCGAGCAGAGGGTGTTTATTCATAGCTCTCTGCAGCAAGGGAGATGGCCACCGTCCCTTGGCAGCAATTCAGAGACAATCAGCGGGGTGTGAGAACTTCCTTGGGGAAAAAGAGAAGGTTTCATCTGTGCCCTGATGGAGGTTGTGGGTCTGGGGAACTGGAGCAGCTGACTAGAAGTGGAGTGTCCTGGGCTGTTGCTAGAGATAGCAGCCTGATGTCCCACAAGTCTGACTGGCAGCAGGCTGGCTTCCTGGGCTGGTTAATGTAGAGCGTATTTTGGTTTCCTGGACCAGGTTTACTATAGACTGAATGTGTGCCCCTAAAATTCATATGTTGAAACCTAGCCCCTGGGAGGTGGGGCCTTTGGGAGGTTGATTAGGTCAGGAGGGTAGAGCCCTCATCGATGGGATTAGTGCCTTTATAAGAGAGACCCCAGAGAGCTCCTTTGCCCCTTCTATCAGGTAAGGACACAGCAAGAAGATGGTTGTCTGTAAACCAGGAAGCAGGCCCTCACTAGACACCGAATCTGTTGGTGCCTTGATCTTGGATTCCATCTTCCAGAACTGTGAGAAATAAAGGTCTGTGGCTTATTAGACACCCTGTCATGGTATTTTGTTACAGCAGTCAGAGCAGATTAAGACAAGACTGCTGCACGTTGTGGGTCAGAGTTCTGTTTTTATATATGATCTGACCGATGTTTGTATGTTCAGTCTCCAACCGGTATGAAGCTGCTGTTAGATCAGGGCTTGTCTGACTGGGGGAGAGACCATCTTCTCAGCCCAGTGGTTTCCAGAGGAACATTTTGAGACCACACATGGGGCAGTGGTTTCCTGCCCACCCTGAAGCTGTCCTTGGTGGTCCCCTCACCCTTCCTGTGTGGAGAGCTCGGCGTGGCAGGAGAGCTAGCTGCAGAGAATCAGCTCAGGCTGTGGTGCCTGGAGACAGTAGAGGAAGGCCATGGATCCGAGTGGAAGTTGGACGGAAAACCAGTGGGTAAGACTAAGGAGTACTTGTGTTAGGGAACCATTGACTGAAACCACCTGCCCTGGCCAGGCAGCATAATAACTGCTTGCATGAGTTATCTCACAACAGAAGGTCCCCAAAAGGAACACGGAACTAATAAGCTACTGCCAGCCAGAAGGATTCGGGAGGGGACAGAAGGGAGGAGACACCAGCCCATAACATGTCCTGCCAACCTCCCAGAAATCATGTTGGAATCCATCTTGGCTGAGAGATGTGTGCACCACCAGGAAGGACCCTGAGTCAGACCAAATATGGGCACAAGCAAGATGACTGGCCAGAGACAACCCGGAAAGCTAACTCCATTACCATAAAACCTGAGCCTGTGAGCCTCATGGCAGAGCAGTTCTCTTGTGTCCTCTTCCCCTGATGCCCCTTGCCAATAAAGTCTCTTGCTTTGTCAGCACGTGTGTCTCCTTGGACAATTCATTTCTGAGTGTTAGACAAGAGCCCACTCTTGGGCCCTGGAAGGGGTCCCTCTTCCTGCAACACTTGGGTGCCTGAGCCTGTGGCCTTTGGAGCCTCACATCACTTCATGCCTGATGACATG